ATTGGAAATGGTTATCCGGAAAAGCTAGATGATACTATCAATAAGAAGGAGTATAAGGGAAAACAGAGAATTGAAAATTCTTGGCTATCGACGCTAGCCATTCCATATCGAAAGGACACAACTGAACAGCTTTGAAGACTTCCATATTAGTTTGTTTATTAGATGTATCACACAGTGAAACAGTGTTATTTACTGGATGATGTTTCGAACGAAATTTATTGTTCATAATCATATCAATTATAATTACCCGACTTCGAAATTTGTCGTGTGATGATTATGAACAATAATAAATTTTGTTCGAAACGTCATCCAGTAAATAATACTGTTTCACTCACTGTGTGTGATACATCTAATAAACAAACTAGTATGGGATTACTTACTAGCACAGTGCCCAAGTTTTACACACATATTAACTTCGAAGACTATTTGTTGCATATAACATTAAAAGTCTATTTCAAACCATCTAATTCTCTAGAGAAAGCTTTGGTGAATGTCAAAGATATGATATGGTTCCCAAAATGTCACAAAGTAATTGTGTCTATAGGATGAAATGTTCAGAATTGGGAATCTTGCTATCTACCTATACAGGGGAGAGCAGTAGACAGGTGAAGGTCAGAGTGAATGAACATAGGCTGGCTGTTCCCGAAACATCCACCTAGAAATGAAGTAGAATTAAAAAGTCTAGAGAAAAGATCGGCTATAGCAATGTCGAAATTCTTGGAAGAGGAATTCATTCAACACATAAAGAAAGGTTGACCTCTGAAGCCTTGCACATTTTAACCACATGGAATGCAGTAAATAGGAAGGAGAGAAGAGATAGACTTATCACCTATATGTCAAACTCTAATGAAGCAAGACAGATGGGAAAACAACAAAAGCCTCTGTGAACCTCCTTGACCTTTGAAAAAGGTGTATTATGTTTATCACATGTGAATTTACGTGACAAATAAGATTGACTCACACACACTCATACAGAAAAAATATACACAATGACAATTTGACATTAGTCATTACAAATATATGATGACTGCTTACATATTCCTATTGGTCCCAATGTCCATGGAAAAATGACCTTCAGATACACTGACTTCAATTTATGTAAAATTTGTTTGACTATATATTTTGATGATTAGTAAAATTCCGAATAATTTTGCTGCTGGGGAAGCCTTGGCATACACAGGGAATTGTTCAGAAAAATCTTGTTTTGATTTTTTTAGTTAAAGTTTCTGGGATTAATTTAAAATATTTATGATAAATGATGACTCAGTCTGACTCGGTGCTCAAATTATCCCGGGAAATTCGTAACATCTACGATCTGGGAACTTGTAATTGTCGTTATTATATCTGAGTCATTATTACAGTCGTTATATGTCACCCGGTCGGTCGGTCGGTTTTCGACATAGAACTTTGCACATATATGCGGCAGTTCAAGTCGCCACACTCCATGTAGCACAAAAAGCAAGAGAAGAAAGTAGAAGAAATGCAGAATAGAGACAGTAAACAGAGGTGTGGGACAAAGGAATAGTAATAACGAAGAACGAAACAGTTTAATTGGAAATCATAAGTCACAAGGAGTGGATGCATCTGCGCTACTGAGAACGATTTTGAGCCATGTCACCAATTGTTTCCAACCATTGGTTTTTACCGTCCCGAGGACCCCAACCAGTCAGGAAGTCTACACCTTCCTACGTGCCTTAGACTAACTGTTGTAGATTTCATTGACTGATGAAGCTATGTTTTGGTTTGACCACCACTGGCTCTTTTCCAGTCTGACCCTATGTCAGCTAACATTGCCCGTCGAGGAAGGCGATGGCTAGGCATACGTAACACATGTCCTAACCATCTCAGTCGATGTAGCTTCACAGCCTTGTCTATTGATTTCCCCTCCTTACCCAGCACTCGACCGATGCCTAACCTCAATATTGCTCACCCTATTATACCACCTAATTCATACGGGAGATAGAACGCAGACACCTATGATCGAAGACAGCTAATCTTTTCATGTCTTCCGCTCTCAATGGCCAGGTCTCACAGCCAATTAAATTCTAATTACATGCCCAGACATCGTCGAAGCATCTGCACAAGAAGCCGACATGTTAATCTGAGACCGAGCACTTCGGTCCAATCAATCGAAGGGAAAATCTAAAATTAAATTAAATAATTAATATGATCAGTTGCACAAGAGGTGGCTCTCGTGGCCCAACAGGTCTAATGGATAATGCTTTGGTGTTTGAAACTATTGTCAACCTGTCCCGGATCAGCCTAGCGTTGTTGCAGCCCAATTATCCATGCCTAACGTGTCTATCCCACCTTGTTTAATGAACTGTGTGTTTTTACTTCGATCTGTTTAGTCAAACAGTTGAACTCATGACCCAATCAGAGTATTTTTGTGAACTGTTATTTTGCTGACCCATGTCTTACTTTGTACTATTCTGTCGAGTTTATCTTATTTATTGATTGGTTAAGTAGCCAATTAAATTCTATCTTTGTGCCTATGCTCTGTCTATCTCTTACTTGGGTTCATTCTTCTACTGACTGCTTATCTGAACGGTCGTGTCTGATCCGGCTAGTTCGTAATTTCGGCTTTAACGTTATTCTGCTCTGATAGCTGTACCTTGCTTTCTGTTAAGCATTGTGTTTTGTACTCTTGAAACCGTTAAGGTTTGTTGTATATATATATACATGTATATATATATATATATATATATATATATATATATATGTAATTATTGATTTGTTTATTAATAGTACCGTAGAAACAGTGACCGGCTTCTTGTTTGTTCTGGACCGGGATAGCCTTTATCTACGCGTGACTTAATTTCAAGCAATATTGCGCTTACAGACATTATGAGCAATCGTGGAACCAGAGAATGAGCAGATATGTGAGGGAGGAAGAATAGGAACATGAAAAAACATGAGGGGGGAAAAGGGCATGGGAGATCCACTGATAACGACTTTAAGTTATATCGCCAATAGTTGTTGCTCTAACTCTTTTCCAACATAGTCCTGTATCGACTAGGTATTTCCCGTCGATGATGGCGATGGATCGGCATCACAACATGTCCTAGCCATCTCTCTGTCGATACAACTTCGCAGCTTCACTCCTTGTGAAGCTCCTTACCTAGCATCCTACGTCTAACCTCACTATTACTCACTAATAATAGTGTAATTATGGATGACAATAAAAACCTGGATAGTGACGGGATTTAATACAGTGGCGTTCGGATTAATAGTCCAGCGATATTTAGCCAAAGCCGGAGTTGGCAGTTCGGAGGTCAATAACTTAAGTCTTGCCAATGGGCCCAGTCTTCCGTTTCACCTCTAGTTAGCATCCTTTATTTCTTAAAGCGCCTGAAAGAAAAACATGCGTTACTGCCTTATTGTAACGACAGAAGACAAAAGTCAGGCAACAGATCCTTTGTTGAGGAAATCAACAGATATTTATGGATTTTTATATACATTATTATTCGTTATTGTTAGCAGAGAAGCATGCCACCTGATTGGTTGTTTTCCTGCTGAAGGCCATTCTGCCATCGCTTTGTGGCCGTTTCTCAGAGAGTTCGGTGATATATTTGCGAATCGTATCCGCTCACGCTAAGTCTCCTGTGATTGGTCGTTGAGTTCCTCAAGGGTTTTTTTCCTCATGAGCCCGATTTGGGACGTAAACTGGCAATCTATCAATTTTGCCTAGCAGATAGCTCTCACCACAATATGATCACAGAGTCCAGGTTTTAAATGACACGTTTGAAGGTAGAAGTTCCACCCATACACAAGACTTTGCCACCAACTAGAGATTACCGAAATGTAAGTCGGAGTGACTTCCTTTCCAGGGTAGTAGGGGAATATCTCCTTTTTTGGTCAGAAGTAAGACTTCTTACACCTAAACTATTAAGGTGGTAACCACTTTTAGTCGGTCGGCACTGTCGTATGCAGATTTACCTCGATAATTCAGTCAGCCACTAACATATCTGATCAACACAAATGGACAGATTTCAGTTAAAATAGTTACAGTAGTGATGAATGAGCCAAGTTTTGTGTTTAATTATCAAGAATCAAAATCAAAGCAAAAGAATTTGAGCATGTTTATACTTAAACCTTGAAAGGAAAGTGTAATTGCAAAATATTTGACCATCTGTGCTATGCAAAGTTTGGTCCACTGAAGTTCAAAACTTGCCAGAGTTACGGCAAAGCTAAAACAACAAAAGTTCTAAGAAGATGATCTAATGATCTCATTCACTCTTTTCCTCCAGTTCCAACGGAATATATGCACATCTTATAAACGAATCTATATTCTTGAGCCTTTTTAGACTAATAATAATAATGATGAGATAACTGTAGAAATCGATAATGCAAAGCAACTGGTCAATCACAATGAACCGTAAGTTGTTAGTCCGTCTTTCTATACGTTTAAAGTCTATGCGTTACTCCAATGTGAAGTCAGTGCTACACGACACGGATCACAGACTTGGCGCCGCGACCCGCTGCATCACGAAGGCCACTTCGAATAAACTACGGACCTACATCAACATCTGTCTTCGCTCAATACTACTCAAGATCAGATGGCCGGACAGAAAAGATCAGTAACAGAGAGACATCTATGGCAATGAGTGAACCAACCCAGCAGGAACCGACTGTGCAACAAATCTGCAGGAAGGAATGGAGGTGGATTGGCTAGTCATACTCTGAGAAAACAAACCATCAAGTGACATCACACGCCAGACCATCGCTTCAGTGGAATCCGGCTGAATGAGAAGCAGCAAATCAGTCGGTCGTTAGTGCGAGGGTGACATGGAGGAGGAGGTGATGTGAAGAGAAGATGAAAGCATATGGGCAGACGTGGAGCCAGGTGATGAAAACGTTGGCAGAGAAACGAACGCAATGGAAACGTGTGGCTGAAGCCATATGTTACTCCAGGAACTAAAGGAAACAATAATAATAATATAATATATAATATAGAGTCTTTGCATTACACAGAATAAAGTGTTGTTTAGTGAACTTACCAGACTGTACCAGCTCGTAAACCTTGCATAACATGCATAGCTCTATCAAGATCTGAAGTACATATACCAGCAGCAAGACCATAATGTGATTGATTAGCTCGTCTAAATAATTCATCCAATGTACGGAATTTCATAATTTGCATTACTGGTCCAAATATCTACATGGAAGCGGGAGTTAACAAAATTAAATATAATAACAGTAATAATAATAATAGTAATAATACAGAAATCATGACCAGTAGGGTGCAGCAGGTCGGGTGTGACGACAAATACTCCCCACGGAAGACATTGGCTAGTGGTCGCGATATATCATGAATTGGCAGAAGTTAGAATTCATGGGCTGGCCATTGGATCGCGTCCCAGTCGCTGAATGGCCTACGAGATCGCTGGCCCGGTAACCAGAAGGTCGTGGGTTCAAACCCTTGTAGTGGGTGCGTACTGATGAAGAGTCCCGAACTAGACTGACGAAACAGCTGTCCAGTACTCCCAGCTTTCCCAATGGTTCTCTAACTTATATCAGCTCATGATGAAATCCTGTAACAGAAAATAGAATTTTTAAGGAAAAACATTGGACATGCTATTGATTTTAACCATAATCATCTAACACCATTTTTATAAAACACAATTAATTCGACTACTAAATATTGCTGAGGCGGGCTGTTGGGATCCATATTAACAAGCCTAATTTGTGCATCCAGAAGAAGTTAGTTCAGACATTATGCTTACCCCGTTGGCCATCTAGGTTTGAATGATCCTGAATTTTTGCGGAAATTTGCCTAATTTTAGTTGGTATTCTATTTGCTACTATATCTTTATTATTATTTAGGCATATTTAATGGAATGTAATTCTATTGTGATCTTTCTTAACAAATCGATATTATTTAAAAAACGCTAATGTTGTTATTGACTACTATTCTAGAATAATATTCTATGTATATAAACATATTTATATATATAATTGATTAAAAATGCCCATTAAAATTTTCAAAAAAATGCATACTGAACAAAGAATACATCTTTCAGTAACTTCATCATCAGGCTCTACAGTCATGTGTATACATTATAGTGAATGAATGAATTAGTGTTATGAACAAAAACATTAATGTTGTTTAAATAACATCGAATCAATAATATTGATAGAATACAGCTCATTAGCATCAACATAACAATAAACTGAATGTCAGAAAATTTAGGAAAGATAATATCACAAATTCATGAATTTATAGTCTCTACTGAGGGCCAGTGAGAGCAGTAGTAGGGGCTGGACTTGTTTCTTTTGGACACAGAGCACGGGCGAATTGCAATAGCCTCTGATGTTTGAAGCATGCGGTGCTTCGATGATGATTTTGGCAATTTATTAGGCACCCGGTGGTAGATGATAGAGAAGGATTCTTCCACGCTGGCTTTGTGGCTAGCCGGTTTGGACCAGATGGTCTAATATCGAACTGTTAATGGTTTTCACTACACCTTTACTTAGTCATACTGTAAGATGTTCTCTAGTGAGCACAAAAAATCAAGTTCCTAGAGCAACGGCCGATATATATTTAATTGTAGAGCCAGAAAAGGAAATTATCGAAAAGGATATTTTTTTGCTCATTTATTTCGTGTTTTATAGATGTCTGAATGAATATTTTCGCTATATTGAATTTTTGATATATAATTCAAGTTCTCCCACTCACTGATAACTAACTGACTGCTTATTTAAGTGTTGTAATTGCATCGTATAATGCACTTTATCTTAATTTAATATTGTCCCCTGTATGTAGAGTAGTACCCAGCTGACGAAGAGTTCTACCAATATTAAATCTTGCTTTATTAACTTCTGAAGCTTTTTAAAAAAAATTTATATTGAGAAATAAATGTCTTCAATTCTGCATACTGGTTAGGCAAAAGATTGTTGGCTAACTGACGGCTTAGCAGAGTATCTTCTTGCTTATACTTTCTGACTGGACTGGTTACCTGTTACTTCCTTCAATTATCTAGGTTGCCTTGTTTCAACTACAGGCGGACACCACGGATGAAGATGTCAAAGCCAGTCAGGAACGGAAAGGCAAGAAACGCCCACATCAATCGGAAATCGGTTTGAAAGTCTTCTGCACACAGCATTAACAACAAGATTAGGATTCTGTTCAACACAAATGTGAAGTCAGTCAGTCAGTCACTTATTCTATACGGGTCGGAAACTTGCACTGCATGTCGCGAAAAGGACTTCCAACAGTCTGTTGCAGACTTTTGTCAACAGCTGCCCACTTCGCTGGCTGGCTCCATACTGAAGATCAAATGGTCAGAAAGAATTAGCAACCAGAAACTCTGTCTGGGAACAAACCAAAAGGAGAGAGCCGGTTGCTCAACAGATATGTAGGATTGGTTGGAGGATTTTACTATGAACTAATATCCGTTAGAGAACCATCGTAAAACCAGCTGGGAGTATTGGACAGCTGTTTCGTCATAGTTTGGGACTCTTTATCAGTACGCATACGCACCCGCCGAAGTTCTAACCCAGGACCTTCTCGTTACAAGGCTGGAGAGTTCGTAGACCATTAAAAGCCACTGGGACCCGATCCAATGTCCCGTGAATTCTAACTTCTGTCAACTCACAACACAGTGAACCCCGGCGGGTGTGTATCGCTGAGGGGACGAAACAGATGCCCAGAACTCCCAGGTTTCCCAATGGTCCTCTAACTGATATCAATCCATGATGAAATCCCCCAAGCAATCAAACAAGATCCCTACGAAACCAATACTTGAAAATATGTAGGAGAAAATGGAGATGAATCGGGGATCCACTAAAAGGTCCATCGAATTACGTTACCCACCAGGCCATAGCTTGAGTGGAATCCCAATGTGAAGCAACCAGTGGGTCTTCAGCGCGAGGATGACATAATAATAATAATAACAATAATAATGGCTTTATTCCAAACAGTATTTGTGGTACAGGTATGGAATTTTCAGCGTAGAAGAGATGGTGTGTTGGGGAGGAGGAGATGAGAGATGATAGGTAATCGTGGACTCAGCTGAAGATGACAGCACCAAATAGAACAAAGTGGAGATGTATTGTTGAAGCCCTATGTTCCATTCGGAACTCAAGGGAATAATAACATAAAATAATAAATAATTTTTCACCAGCTGCTCACCTGACACAGTTTCTAATCTTGAACTGACTTGTAAATTTTCCCTCCCCACATTGTATATGAATCTATAATAACTAGTTACTATCATCGTTACTATCATCTCTCTCATTACACAGTACTTGGCAACCGAATTCAGTCTAGCGCGTTTGTTAACAAATATTACTCGGCAAGAGTAAACAATAGACACCAGAGCCAAATGGCCTTGAACCAGCCAATCAGATCGCTTATCATTCACAATGCGTGCTGTTCATGACCTTCACCGCAAGTTTCACCCAGATTTGGTTTTTGACTTCCACTGTGTGGAAAATGGGTTGATAGGAAGGTCTAAAACCGGGATATGTGGAGGGATAATGACGCTAAAAAGGGTATTGCGGGGCTATTGACAGCTACGCATTCAGATGCAGCCACTGTTATATGAGGAAGTTTGTGAGAGTTGGTAAGCCATACATTCTTTAGATATTTTCTTCTCGAAATCGAAACTGTCCCTTAGTAATATACTGCATTTATGTCATAACTGGCTACTGAAACGACAATTATCTGCTTCAGCTGCAGAAATAGAGAATAATAAAGTGTCACCAGTGCAGTGGAGTCAGTACTGTCGTGACATTGCATCACAAAAGCTAAATGGGATTACCTCTGTACTTGGATGAGTCAACGTCGTCGTACATATTGACGAAACGATACTTATTAAGCGAAAAATGAGTCGTGGTAGAAGTAGAGCAGATCATGTTTGGGTTCTGGGACTTTACGACACAAATCTTCGTGAAGAGTTTGTAGAACGTATCCCGAATCGAAGTACTGATGTCTTGATACCAATTATACAATGACTAGTCCTCCCAAGCATAACAAAGTTGAGCATTCTTCTGAATTGATTGGTGGATCCTATAACCGGAACACATACAAATTCCATTGAAGGATTCTGGACTCACTTCAAAAGACGTATCAGAATGGTAATAGGTTCCCAAAATGATATAAAGTATAGCCATTTAGATGCGTTTTTGTATCAACACTAGTTTAATATGTCTATAACCACTCCCTGTGCGAGACTGGGACGAGTGTTTGCAACATATCAGAGACATTTATCCTGTATAATTAATTTCTATTACGTATATGCAGATTAGAAATACACATTTTGTATTAATTAAATGCTGCTTTTAACCTGGAAGAATCTGACTGGCTGTCTCAAGGTTGTCTGTAGTTGCTGTCGATTCTTTACTGTTGCGCCTGTTTATTACTTATTTTGTTACCCTATAACTAACCAGCCTCTCATCCGCCGTATTACTGGACACTATTGTTATGATGACAAATACTATATTTTCTAGTCGTAAGAACCTGAAGAGGAGAATTTGTTGAAGAAAGTATTCTGCATTCAAATTGACCTTTAAATGCATAATTTGTCAAACACTAAACAACCTTCTTTACGACTTTGAAATAGTACTGTGGTGAGAGCTCTCTGCTAGCCAAAATTGTAGACAACAATTGACGTCAATGTTTACGTCCCCATTCTTGGTCATGAGAAAAAAACAAGAACAAGAACTCAAGAACGAATCACAGCAGACTTAGCGTGGGCGGATACTATTCGCAGATATATCACCAAACTGTCTAAGAAAAGGTAACAACGAGATGACAGAATAACCTTTAGCAGCAAAACAACCAATCAGAAGAGGTTGCTTCTCTGCTCACTATAACGCCAATAATAATGTACATAGAAATCTAAAAGTATCTGTTGATTTTCTCAGTAAGTGGTCTGTTGCCTGGCCCTTGTCTTCTGTCGTTACAGTACTAGCCATCAGCGTACCCTTTATTTCAAGACCCTCAGTAAATGTAGCTGACCGACTTGTCATGAATACAGCGTTGTGAAGAATATTCACGACGTTTGACTGTGGGAGATTACTTCAGTGAAAGAATCATTCTACGAGAAATATACACCAAAGGGATCTGGAGTAGTGAAACGTAATCAAATTAATCTTTAGGAAAATAGAACCTTAACAGAACGTAACATGAAGATGAATAACAACTCACCTCTTCACGAGCAATACGCATATTATCTTGAACATCAGCAAATACTGTAGGACGAATGAAATAACCACTGGAACCATGACGTTGACCACCAGTGCATAGTTTAGCGCCTTCTTTTTTACCACTTTCAATATAGGACATAACTGTTTTAAATTGTTGTTCATCAACTTGTGGACCCTATAAAAAACGAAGAAGAAAGATAAGAAACAGAAGTGGCGAATTCTCATAAAAGATGATGTAGAAACAGTTGACTTGCATATCTCAGGTATCACACCAGCCACTCAGCAGCTGTGGGTTCCAGTCTCGATCGACTCAGACCCAAAGGGTTGACTGCTGCTGACGAAATCTCAACTACGATACAAAAGGCTCGTATAGCATTTGCCAACAACTTACGTCATCTCCAGCGTAGACGTGACAATTGTCTATCAACCAAAGGACCTGTGTACTGATCAGCGGTTCGCTCAGTCCTTCCTTATGGCTCTGAAACACAGCTACCGGACGTGAAAGACATGGAAAAGCTACCTGTCTTCGGTCATCGGTGTCTGACACAATAGGGTGAGTAATATTGAGGTTAGGCGTCGAACACTAAGTAGTGAAGCTAAATAGATTGGGGTGACTAGGATATGTGCTACATATTCCTAGCCATCACCATTCCTCGACAAGCACAATGTTAGTTGAAATACGGTTGGGCTGGGAAAGATTGAAGGGTGGTCAAATCAAAACTTGTATTCATACCATAAAGTCCCTAACAGTTGGTTTGAGCCAGTCACTTATGGTGATGCAGACTGCCTGGTTGAAGTCCCCTGGGATTCTAAGAACCTGTGGTTGGAGAGTGTCGGTTATATGCTGCGAAATCGCTCCCAATGGCACGCATATGCTCTTATATCCATTAAACTCTATTATTCTTGCATGTTATACTATTCTTTCTTTCTTCCTCATATTTCTGCTTAGCATCGTTCTTACGAACCTCTTTTCCTATCTCTCTCCTTTATTTCCATTTGTGTGCTACATGGAGTGTGGTCAACGCGAACTGCTGCATCTCTGTGCCAACTCATATGTTGAGTCCAGTCAGTTAGTCAGTCATTCAATCATTCCTGGCTTTGAAAACCGGGAGTAAGTCTGGAAAAAGAAGGTTGATCGAGAGGCTAGAAATCGCACATCACCGCTAATGAAACTCCAAAACTTATAGCTCTATATCCCACCTGGAATATAAGATATGAATATCACTAAAAGTATTTCCAACAGACTGTTTCAGACTTCGGTTGATACTGAAGAACAAATGGCAAAACATAGACTATAAACAAGAGGGAGTATTGAACCTCAGAGGAGAGCCAACCAATAACCTACGGCCCAACAAATATGCAAAAGCGAATAGAAACCGACTAGACATACTATGAGGAGATCGCTGAGTGATACCACATACTGGATGATCTTAGAATGGATCCCCAGTAGGAAATGACGCGTTGGGCATCCGACGGTGTCATGAGGAAGATCATTTAAGGAGGGGATGAATGCTTGTGGAAAGTAGTCGTACAATGCAGATGTGCCACTGAGACCCTGTGGTCCACTCGAAATGCCAAGAATGATTAATCAGAATAACACTAATCACGAATGTCAAACATAATAGTAGATGGAATGAAACCTCCTACTCATAATCTAGAGCAATTGAAGGAAGGAAACAGACGTTAAGGACAATAAATGTAAACACTTATACAATCGGTTGGAGGATTTCACCACAAGCTGACATCGGTTAGACAGCCATTGGAAAACCTGTAAGTACTGTACAGCTGTTTCATCGTAGTCTGGAACTCTTCAAAAGTAAGCACCCAACCACAAGGGTTGAAATGTACCCCTTTTACATCATACTATAATAAGCTGATTAATCAATCAATATACATACATAACTCTAGCAGAAAGTTTATTATTATTACTGTTTCTTTTAGTTCCTAGAGGAAAATAGGGCTTCAGCCGCACGTTTCCATTGCGTTCGGTTCCATGACAACGTTTTCATCACCTGGCTCCACGTCTGCCCACACGCTCTCATCTCCTCTTCACATGACCTTCTCTATGTCACTCTAGCACTAACGACCAACTCGCCACTTCCCATTTGGGTTCCACTCGGGACAGATCCTGGTGTGTGATGTCACCTGGTGGTTCCCTCAGAGTATGGCCAATCCATCTCCATTTCTTCCTGCTTTTTTGCTGCACAATTGGTTCCTTCTGAGTTGGTTCGCTCATTACCAGAGATCCCTCCCTGTTGCTGATCTTTTCTGTCCGGCCATCTGATCTTGAGTAGTATTGAGCGAAGACAGATATTGATGTAGGTCCGTAGTTTGTTCGAAGTGCCCTTCGTGACGCTCCAAGTCTCTGATCCGTGTAGTGTAGCACTGACTTCGCATTGGATTTGAAAATCCGGATCTTATTTTTCATGCGGAGTAGTTCTGTTGACCTCCACACAAACTTGGGAGTAATGAAAGCCGGCCCCGCTTTACCGATCCTCAAGCTTTGATATCTTTGTCAATTCCGTTGGCCTGTAGTTGAAACGATGCTTCCCAGATGGGTAAGTAGGTAAATATGTAGGTGAAGGAGGGTGTTTCTTTCAAATTTCTCCCATTTATGCTAACTGTTGTTGCTGTTGACCAGGAATCTTCATCACCTCTGTTTTCTCTATATTCACCTGAACGAAGTCCTTCTTTGGATACTTCTTCTGCCAACTTGTCACAATTTCACTTGCATATCATCCAGTTTGTGGCAAATCAGACATATATATGGCATCGGCGAAAGCCAGAGAAAGTTTAGACACTGAGAAATAAAAACAAGCGAATACACAGACAATCACAAGTTTTGAATCATGGTATCATCTCTTTTGAGTAACCTCATACACTAACTAATTTAGTAAAATTACACTACACTACTGGGTTTCACAACGATGACCTTTCGCATCATACGTTTTGCTGTTGCTGATCCATTGTCGATTATTAAATCGGTTTATATATTTGAATTATCGAGGTCATATTTTTCTAAGTCAATGGTAATATGTATGTATAAGTATATATATTTATACATAATAATACATGCATTCTGATATCAGCTGATTGACAACTAATACGGATAATACCTTTTTTCTTATGTGAATACTAATCACTCAACCATACTGAGTGAGTTGATGGATAGAATGTTAACCTGGGGGTTATGTATGGTAAAGCCAGTGAGGAGTTTGTTTCATCTTATCACGTAGGTCAAGAATCACTGCCTGACTAACTAATTGAGTCGTAATGTAGAAACTTCGCACGGCAAGACAGAGTAGTTTGAGTTTCCACACTCCATATAGCACACACACACAAAGGTACAGAAATCAGGAAATAAGAGGAAGATAGAATAATAACACGGAAAAACAAGAAGGTCTATTGCATATCGAAGATTACAAGACGTGAATGAAAGAAGAAAAAATAGTTAGAGCGAACAATTGTCACTTTCAATAAATTCGTCTTTTTCTTCTTCTTCAGGCTGTACAATTATAAATTCTATTAATTTAGGCATAAAATAGCCAACCAGCCAGCCACCTAGTAAAGATGGTATAGAGCAATAGTTAGTTAAAAGGATATTCTTTTCAAGAATTTCTCCTCTTCAGGTTCTTACAATTATAAAATATAATATTTGTTGTCGTCTGCTACACATAACTGAAGCTGTTGCAATGAGACCGACTAAACCGGAACTTTGTATCCAAAAAAAAGAACACACCCAGACGCTGTTCCTACCATGGTCAAACTTGGATTGATGTTTCTTCTTCTAACCAAGAGTGCCTCTTCTCATTAACTCTTCTTGTTTTTTCTTTCGTTACTTATCATTACAAATATTAGTATTCATTATAATTTAAACCCATCATTCAAACGTCCTCTCAATAATATCGAATTTTCCATTAAGACTATCCGAAATTTATAAATTTATATTTGTAATATCTCAGCGAAATTGAAATGATTAATTCCAACGTTTCGTTCGTTTATTTTAATTCGATTAATTTCCCTGAAGAAGTTCGGACCAGATTGCCGAACGAAACGTTGGAATTAATCATTTCAATTTCGTTGAGATATTTCAAATATAAATTTATAAATGTCTACTTCTCACTCAGCGCTCAATTATTTTGCAACTATCCGGTCAAATCTTGATCACAGTTCATATGAACTATCCGAAATTATTATAAGTGATATTGTCTCTTTTCACAACTTATGCCTCCACTTGTTTCATTTCACACATTCGTTATTTCATTATGAACCTCATTGCAGTCTTAGTATCTCCTATTTAATACATACCACTTTGTACTAGCCACTCAATCACCTGACACGTTTTATAACCGTGAACTGACTTCTCAATTCTCCTACCCCACAGCCTACTAACGAGTCAAGGATAGATTACTCAAGATAATCTCATCGTTGTGTATCTATAACTTCAGTTGCTCAAGTGCAGCTAGCTATATTGACCATTGTCAGAGGACATTATCCATGCGTGCACGTCAACATGTATGTGTATGGTTGAGTGAAGGGGAAGCCAGATGCGTAAATAGTGGAGTCTTAACTCACTTGGTAGATAGTGGAGACTCGATAGAACGAGAGCAGACGTTGTCAGTTATTTACCGTGTTCCTGGTTATCTCTATGAAGAGGAGATCGACTACGTCTTCTATCAATAACTGAGACGATAGCAATGAATACCAGAAGACCTGGTCATTGTATACAGGAGAAGTATGTTCAAGTTTGTTATGTTTATATTGGCCTACAAATCCTGCGTATAATATGTGAGTGAAAAAGGACGAAGAGTGTGTACAAAAAGTGTGAATTAACTGTACAATACAAGAGTATATAGGAAATGACTAACATACATGAAGCAATAAGACAGATAGTAGTTTTTCTTACCACCATTGGATTCTGATTGGTTGTAATGTCACGTGACAAAGGTCATACATTGTTTATTTAGTTAATGGCCAGACAGACAATAACATATTGTAGTTATAATGGAATAACAATCAATATAAACATAGTAAAATATACCAGACTGTCCAAACAAAGCAGACATTATGTGACTACATATCAGCTTAAAAGTATTATTTTTTTTAATAATAATAATTGAAGGATTATGACGTAATCAT